TTTAATATAAATAGTGATAAAGATGTTCATGCATAATTAGATGTGTCTATTAAAAAAATGATAGATGTAATTATTAATGATAATGTTATTTATGTTTAAAAGCGACAGTCGGTTACAATAGAATAAGTGATATTAATAATATAAACGACAAATGTTCATATTATTATTAATATTAAAAATGACAGTCATTTATTAATATGCCTTTTAATATTTTTTATATAATTATTTATGACAGATGTACATCACAGTCGTTTATTGTTATATTTTTAAAAATGACTTTTAGTTTTTAAAATAGTAATTATTATGATTTAATATAAGAGAATTACGCTAATCTGTTAGTCAGTTAGGATGACACCAGTTATCTATAAAGTGGAAGACTATAACGAGATCTGTTTTTAAAAAATATTATAAGAGCTTTGTCCCTTTTGTTGATTTGATGGTTTGAAACTAATATAAAAAAATGAGACTTTCAAGCGGACGAAATAAAATCAATTAAAAATGAAAATATCGATTCAATTTTGTTTGATTTTGTATTTGAATCCTCCTTAATTACTAGACTCCAGTAATAAACCTACAGAAAGCACGTTCGCTTTTAGCTGGCCATTAGGCTGATTCTAGAACAAAACTATCCTAGCTTGGTTAATGTGTTTGGCCATTCTTTTTCTTTCCCAATTGTTGTGGGGTTGAGATATAATTTTAAAGAAGACAGATTGGAGATGGTTTCTTCTTCGACTGATGTGTTATGGCTTACACAACTTAATGCAAAAACTAATAACAATAATAAATATATAAATAAATAAATAACGAAAAAAAAAGGTTATGCAGGTGGCCACATCAATTACATGTTTTATGTATGTAATAATGTTTAGATAAAAAACAAAGAGGAAGAAGAGAAGACAGAAAAAGTTAAAGACAGAAAAAGTTAAAGACAGAAAAATTTAATGTTGTTGGGTGATGTGTTTATATTCATGAATTATGATTATAAATAGAGAGAATGTTTATTTGGAAGGAACACTATAAATTGGGTTTCATATAAATACAAATTACAAGCATATAATTAACTTACCTAAACAACTATCAAATGTAAAAAATTTCTAACAATGAAAATAAATACACGTCAAAACTATGATAAAAGTAACTTTCATAATATTGTGATCGATCTTCCAAAAATTAGACCAAATAATATATAATAGTTTGGATCTAAGTTCAAACATACCACTTTAAGGAAACGAAATAATTTTGTTTAAGTTATTTTCCAAATGGGATATTATAATAATAATAATAATAATAATAATAATAATAATAATAATAATAATAATATTATTATTATTATTATTATTATCATCATCATCATTATTATTATTATTATTATTATTATTATTATAATTATTATAATTATACCTCGTTGCACAACAACCACGTCTTAATTGATTAGTATGGAAAGTGATTGCCTTACATTTTTTCGAAGTGTAAAAACTGTACCGGTCACAATTATTCTGACAACGTTAATAATAAATAAGAATAAAGTTATTTAGGTACTCTGTGTTTATAGTGAAATATACTCTTAATATCTTATTTTTTTTTCATAATAATAAAGTGGTATCTTGACGTTTTCAAAAACATTTTTTCAATACCTCGAAGCTAATTTTTAAGATGTAAAATGACCTTAGTATCTTTATATTTAATTAAAAAAATAATACATCTAGAAAAAAATCATGAAAATTTTGTTTTGTTGTTTTTTAAATATTTTAATGTTTTAAAATATATTCAAATTTTTTAAATGCTAATTTTTTTAATTAATAAGAAGGATAGTTTGGACATTACATGTCTCAAAAATTAATTTTAAGATACCGAGAAAATATTTTTAAAAATGTGAACGTATCATTTTAATATTATAAAAAATACAGAGTATCAAAATTATAATACAGAGTACCAAAGTAATTTTATCTCTTATAGATACTGTGAGACTCATGTACTATCACATGATAGTGTAACACTAATGCCGTTCCACACCTCTCTATTTTATTTATTTACTTGCTAAAATACTAGACGTAAAAAAAAAAAGATCACTTATAATAATAACTATAAAAGAGTTGGGGACTTTAACACAGAATATTCTCAAAGTGATAAACATTAATAGCTTTAAGATAAAGTGATAAACATTCTAATGTTCTACGTGATAGAGAAGACACTATCTAGGAAAACCTAGCTAAATTCTCGAATAATGGAGAATTAGAAGATACCCACACATCACAAACTTGGGTTTATCTCACACATCACAAACTTGGGGTTATCTCCTTTCCGGAATATGAAACAAAAGAGAGTGACACCACAAACTTTAATGCATTCATTCTAATGGCTTCTCAAAAGATAGGATATATATATATATATATGTATATTAAACAACTATATGTATGCATATATATGTATATTAAACAACTAAGCCATTCAAACATCAATTTCATATAGATAGAGACAAGTTGTCTCTCTTAATTATCCCCAATTGAAACGTATTTTAGTATTGACAAAACTTCAAACTGATAACTCCTTTTCGTTTTTTTGGGTTAATCTCATTGGTGCTCATAAATTTTAGGATCATTTTTACTTTGTCTTCTAAATTTTGATAATTCTTACTTTACTCTCTAAATTTTAAATTTATTCCGTCTAAGTCTTTTTGTTAAAAAATTCTGTTAAAATTAAATGGAAAAAAGTGTTAAGAGTGTTCATGTGATATATATATATATATATATATATTTTAATAAAAATTTAAATAGAAAGACCATGTGAGTGTATTACTTTTTTCAATATGTTTTTAAGCAGAATTTTTACAGTTCGAAGCGCAAATTAAAAATGACCTTAAAATTTAAAATATATATATATATATTAATCTTATTCTCATTTTGGATCAAATTCAAGAGAGGAAACTCTACTTAGAAGTAGTGGAGGTGCATTGGAAGTAAATGCTGGCCTTGTAGGACCCGTTCTTGAAAGCCCTCTAAACCACTCAATTTGGAAATATTCAGATCAAGCACCAAAGATGAAGCCAATCTGGAATCCTTGATCACATCCACACATCTTAGGAAAAAAAAAGGAAAAAAAATAAAATAAAATTTCTGGTGGCCCAGACCGAAAACCGACACTAGCCGGCCATGGCGTAGCATGAACAGACCACTAAGAAGCCTCTAGCAACTGGTTAGAAGTGGCAACACATTCAGTACCAAGTTGCAATCTCATTAATAGCTTGTGGCACAAGGAAAGGAAAAGAGGACATGAAAAATATGTCATGATACAGGAAACCAAACAGTTTAGGACACCCCTTTTGTGAATTAGGAGTGGGTGACTGGTAACTAGGACAAAACAGGAAGAAGACAGTGACATATATTGATAGGGCTATTTACTATTTTGTGCATTTTAGGCTTATTAATAATATATACCATGCATTTTGGATGTTCTCTCGATTGGATCTTTAGATTTTAATTTCATATTATATTTATGGCCCGTTTGGTTCACTCGTTTATGTCAGTTATTTTGATTCTGAGTTCAAATTTTGTGAGAGAACTCATTGATGGGAACTTTTTGATTCAAATTTTTGTGAGAAAAAAGTACTGTAGGATAATTAAAATCATAATTTTAAACGTGTAAACTAAACAGGCCTTACACATTCTCTCAATCAAATACTGATTTTAACCGCTTAAAGGACGGCTTAAAATAATTATTAGGAGATATAGAGAAAAGAAGTTGATGATAATCTTTAAAGAGTTTACATTGGAAGTACTAATCAAAGACAAGATATACATTTGATATATAATATTGAGAACATCCAAAATATATGGTATACTTTTTTATAAACTTAAAATGCAGGACATAAAATAGCAAATAACCCTATTTTGATATATATAGCAAGTGATAAAGACATTGATTTGTTGTGAGCTTTAGCTTTGACAAACAGTGGCCTTACCACTATTGCTATGAGTGAATGTGGTTGTGGAATATGCCTTAGAAGCCAACCTCTGGCTTTCCCTTTCCCTATAAGCATAACGCCCATATGACCTCATTTAATAGTTCAGCCCACTTGCTTCCTTGTGTCTATATCTCACCTTTTTTTTTTTGGCTTGAATTGTGTTTATATCTCACTTTGGGATCGACATTATTTCCCTGCCACTTCAGAAATCTTGACAATCACAACATATAATAGCACGAGCAATTATACAATTCCAAATTCTCAAAACATATCTAGAACTCATCATTAATCAGCTCTTTACACCTGTTTAATCAACTTCAAACCCACCTATTTTTGTTCTTTTTTCCTTTGGTAAAACAAGATTCAACATTATCCATTTCTATTAAGCCAATCTACCAAAAAGAAACAATAGAATATTGATGTCAAAAAGAAGATATCAGAAGGTCTAAAGCTTTTCTTAGTGGTATGATTTGGTTTTCCAATCAACTTCTCTATACCATGCTAGATAACGGTTATTTACATATATACTTATTGATGAGTATTATTATTTTAGCAGTAAGATATTAATCCAGTGATTATAATAAATTAGATAATTGACTAAAAAAATTTATGACAATTAATAAAACTGGATTCTCATCATACCACATTATCAAATTTTTACATTTAACGGTAACTATTAATAGAAACGTAATAATTAAAAACTCTTCCGTACATATAAACACCCTCAATTTTTGCCCTCAAAATTTCATTAGTAAAAAAATGTCAAGAGTGGCAACTGATTTAAGGTTAAAAGGGACTTGTACACTGAACAGTTATTGTCATGGGGTCTAGACCATTCTTCCTTGTTTGGACCACCATTTTCTAGGCCTATAAATATGACTCAATTTCCAACTCTCAATCTGCTATAAAAAATTCTAGAACAAAATCATTCTCCCACCAGTTCAATACCTCCCCAAAAACCATCACCCTCCTACTTCAAATAGGAACTATTCTCTCACTCATCATTGAAGTTCTACAACTAGGGAACCAATAGAAGCATTACAAAAGAAAAAATGGTGGGGTTACACTTTCTAATATATATATATATATATA